GGACTCCAAGGACGACTTCGACTGGACGCAGGTCAGAGGGCGCGCGCGTGTGTGTTTGTATATAGAGACAGATAAATAGATACATACATAAGTGATCATTTACACACAGTAACTCCAATGCCAGTCCCCATGTAACACCCCCTCCCCCCACAGAGCCGCGGCAGCCTCAACCCCTCCACGGGGCCGCCGAGGGACCGCTCCTCCTTCGCCAACAACGGCATGATGGGAGGTTACGCCTTCATCGACTCCAGCTACCCCAGGAGGCCGGGAGACAAGGCCCGACTCATGAGCCAGGAGTTCCAAGGCACCAGTGAGTTGGTTTGTGCGCTGGGGAGAAAGAGAGGGAAATCAATGGGGTATGGGATAGAGAAACTGAAATGGAGGAAAGAGAGAAAAACAGATAGATTTGGGGTCATTCAAGATAGAATATCAGCTTTCTCACACTGCACACTAAACCCTTTATCATTCCTACCAAATGCCACATTACCTGTGACGATTATCAGCAACACGTGCACAGCCTTTTCGTCCGAAAGATAACGACCTAACAGCTGCCCCCCCCCCCCTCCCCTTCTACCAACAGACCCGGACAGCCCCCTCTGCATGCGCTTCTGGACGCACATGTTCGGCAACGGCATCGGCTCCCTCCGCGTCATCCTCTTCGACGTGAACACCGACGAAGACAAAGTTATCTGGCAGATCTCTGGTGAGGCTGGAAATGCGTGGTACCAAGGCCAGGTACCCATTGCCTCCCCAACGCCCTTCAAGGTACCACCAAACTCTGTTGAGCTGCCGAGCTTCAAGGTACAGTCGAGGCGCGCAGGCCACGGAGGAACTGCTGCATCTAGGATTTCAGTCGTAAACGCGGAGATGCGGAAAATTCTGTGTAAATAAAGTAGAGAAATAATAGATGAGGGGAAAAAACATTTCATTCCTAAACATGAGGATACAGAAACGGGCACTTGTGCATTGAGAGAGTAAGGGATATATATATATATAAATATATATATATATATATATATATATATATATATATATATATATATATATATATATGTATATATGTATGTATATATATATATATATATATATATATATATATATATATATATATATATATATATATATATATATATGTATATATATATATATATATATATATATATATATATATATATATGCATATGTATATTAGTATATATGTATGTATGCATATATATATATATATATATATATATATATATATATATATATATATATATATATATATATTTATATATATGTATATGTATATGCATATATGTATATACATACACACACACACACAAACACACACACACACACACATATATATATATATATATATATATATATATATATATATATATGTGTGTGTGTGTGTGTGTGTGTGTGTGTGTGTGTGTGTGTGTGTGTGTGTGTGTGTGTGTGTGTGTGTGTGTGTGTAATAACAGGGGTGGATAGGGAAACAAAACATTTGAGTCGCAATAGCAAGGATGTAAACAAAACAACCAAGGGACAAAGCTGGGCACACACGAACACGGATATACGTAAAGCCTTTTCGCTTTATTGTTTCTTCAGAGTATATTACTTCCCTCTCCATGCGCTGTAGAAAAGCGAAAAGACTTCGACAAATCCTGTTTTCCTGCCCTTCCCTTCGTCGCGTTGTTTACAATTCGTTCAACATGAATTATATCACCAGATCAAATAAATTTGATTTTTCTAGCAAAGCCTTTGCCAGTCTTTGGGCTTTTTAACAATGAAAATACATTAGTTATTTACACAGATAGACAGATATTTAGAGATACATATAGTAGTAGTCAGAGCGAGAGAGATACAGCTAGACGAACAGATGTAAACTGATTGCATTCATATTAGAATTACGTATAACATCAAAATAATATTCAAAGGATTCATATGAATAAGTTGCACAGGTAGGGGTATTTTCATTCTCTTCGGAATCATTATTCCTCTTACAAATAAGTATTTTGTCCATGCTTTTATGTAGTAAGAGATGCAGTTCTCTGTATGCCTGCTTGCTGACTGTGCCTTGTAATGTGCATGAACTAACCAGCACACAAAATATGTATCGAACTAACCAGCACACAAAATATGTATCATGTATGTCTTAACCCATACTGTCTTACAAGCACACTATGTACTATGTCTACTGTAAGATCATGCTAACAGTATATTCATCGATCACGGTTTCTCTGCACTGTAAATATAACCACAGCACAAAGGAATTTCCTTCCGTTGGTTAAAGAGTAACACTGGTTCTCGCGCTTCGTCTCAGATCGTGTTCGAGGGCGTCGTGGGAGCCAACAACTTGGGAGACATTGCTATCGATGACATTTCCATCATCCAGGGCGCGTGTCCTAGTAAGTTTGTCTTTTTATGAACCTGTTAATAGGATTATATGTAATTGGCTTTTTTTTTTTTCTTGACGGTAACTTCTATCTTTTGTCTTTTATCTAAAAAATGC